ATGGCATCAGATAGGGCATCTGTGCTGTTTGCCAATCATGAAGGCCTCAACAATCCGCCGCCACCACCACCACCCACCACCACCATCAACCACCACCACCATGCAGTTTCATACATCACACCTATCAGGAACGAGGCGATCAAAGAGTATGCTGGACATAGAAGAGGAGGAGTGATTCCAGGTTCTTTTCAGCCACACAAGTTTGCTGATTATTCTTCCATTGACAACTACCTGGTTTCGCTTGGGCAAACGCCGAGTTTTGTTTTGGATGAATATCGTTATTCAGCACCTGAACTCGGGCCAAGGTTGATGGATTCAGAGGAGGACCCTGCATCGACCTATCTGAATTTGGATGTCGCTGACAACCACGATGGACCTGTTGGGGAGTTTCCATGGAAAAGGCAAGATCATGACTAGCTGCTTCCTTTGTATTTAAACATGTTTTACTACCCCTTTCATCATGGATGGCATTGATGAACTTGTTTTCCATCCATGAAATATGCATCAACTTCTTGTCTGTTACTGTTACTTTTGTGTCTTCGTTTGATGAAGACGAAGACCGTGTGTTTTCGAAATACTTGTATAATAAACCCCAAATACTTGCAATCACTCACAAAATGCATTTATCGGTTGTTTGCTTTTCATTTCATGTTTCAAATACTGTTATTATCTTCAGACATATGGTATCAAGTGCATTGTGTGTTGTGTTTAGGGAGAGAATATAGGTTATTTGAACGGATTGAATTAAATTGAAACCTCCCTTGGGATTTAATATTTATTCTTTATTTAATGCTCTCTCAATTACATAATATCTTCAATTTTTGTATTTTGAAACTTTCATTACATTGCTCCTCTGTTTGTTTGATTTTATCCTAGACTAATAGCTTCTGTAGCTTTTGATCAATATCATGGAAGAATATTTCCTCTCGCAAATAAATAACGCTTTTCAAAAGGCGTGTATCATATATATTTTATAATTTAAGAAGAAAATGACAAAATTTTTTGAGTTATAATTATAAAAAATAAATAAATAAATAAAAAATCATAACCAAATATTACATAATCAAAGATCTCCTAATTCATAACTAAAATATTGTCATAATTTAAAAAATATATATATATATATAATTAAAAATACATATAATATACTTCTTTTACGGGGTGTGTATTGTTGATTTTTCCTAATTGATATGTTATTCCTTTAACCTCTGTTTGGGAAGATGAGTTGGAATGGGTTTGAGACTATTTTATTCACAAAAAAATAAAATAGGTTTTTTAGTCTAATAAGATAAAACATCACATCTAATTCATAATCATTTCATTCTTTCTCTCACAAAAAGTCAAAAAATCATTTCTAAACGAGACTTTTTAACCTCAAACTAAATAATTAAAAAGTCAAAGCCAACCTACTTTTCAAACCAACCCTAATACTACAGGAAATGCCACTTTTGGCGACCAAAATATTGGTCGCCAAAAGCCCCATTTTTGGTCGCCGAAACAATTAGCGACTAAAATATTTTGTCGCCAAACTAGTCGCCTATACGCTGTCGGCGATAGTATTGGCGACTAAAAAATTTTTGGTCGCTGAAAGTGAACGTTTTGGCTACTAAACTCTGGTTCTAAATTAGTTTTGGTAGCTAAAAGTGGTCGGCAAAAATGCTTTTTCTTGTAGTGTAAAGATGACATATAGTATGATTTTTCAGTTCATTCATAGCCTTAGGTTGAGGTTTGTAATAAATTCAAAGACTGATTGTTGCCCTTGCAATTTGCGTAGTATATATGTATATATATATATATTTGAACTAAAGTAGTATATATTCTTGTAAAATCAATTTTGTCAAAGTGGCATTTGCCAATAATAATAATAATAATATTTGTTTAATTTGTGTTTTGAGATATTATTTTAAATAATTTTTTAGAGAAAGTTTAGAAAATTAGAAAATTTGTTTTGTTATATATTTTAAAAATAATTTTGAAATTTTGGATGATTTAATATTTTTTTTTATAATTGAATAGATAGGTGTGAGAGAAAAAATAATTAAGTAGAAGAAAGAAAAGTAATTGATTGATATATAATAGAGACAAAAATGATCTTATTTTTTTAAAAAAAAAGTTCAACCAAACATGTTTTTTTAAATTTTTTTCTCCAAAACATATGTTTTAAGAGACAAACCAAACATACTCAAAAAGTGGTTGCAGGATGACTTGTTCGAATATATATATATATATATATACATACACACAAAATAAACTCTATGGGATTTGGATTAGTGGATGAAAAAAGAATAATCAAAAGGCTTATCACCTAAAAAGTTACGGGTTCAAAACTCACAAAAATCAAGCATTCCAAACTTTGGAGCCATTGGAGATTTTTTTATCCTATTTGTTACTTACAAACATTTTTCTAATAAACATTTTTTATTAAACTATCCATAAAAAATAAAGGGTACATTTTGTACCTTAAACTATCATTAAATTGTCTATTTAGTCTCTAAACTATCGATTGAATCCATTAAGTTCCTAAAATATTTAATTAAAACTTATTTAGTCCCTAAAAAGATTATAAAAATAAAATATAAACTCATAAATATTATAAATTAGTAAAACATTCTATTATCAAGGTGTTCAAGTTCAAAACCCACGAACGCCAAATATCCCAAACTTTGGAGCCACTGGAGATTTTTCGGTCATTATCAAAGTGTGCGTAAGCTGACCTGAACACCTACTTATAAAAAATATTAAAATATATATATTCAAAAAAAAAATTAATTTTTTATTCTGTCTTTAAAAAGTAGGCGCCAATTCATATATTGAATTTTCTTCATAAGAATAAGGATAATTATTTATAGTATTTTTTTACTTATCTTTTACAATAGATACATACTTGCTTTAATATCTAGTATTATATTTTGAATTTCGTTTATAATTTCTAATTGATTATTTTTAATTTTTTCGCTAAGTTATTTTTATTACTTAATTAATGTATTATTTTGTTCTATTATTATTTGTGTAGAAGTGTTATTATTTAAACTATTTAATTCTACCTCTCCAATATATATATTTTTTTTAATCAACAAAGTGAAAATTTTATTAAAAACATAAAATTACAAATACAGGAAGATGCAATGCATCAAGAGAGATTCAGACGGTACAAAATACCCCTATTATTGCTACTTACAAACATACAACCAACCTCTTGGCCTTGCGAATTTTATTTTATTTTTTTATTTTTATTTATATTTTTTAACAAAAGAAAACAAAATAAGACCAAAACAATAAATAAAAGGTTAAGGACTTAACTAAAAAAAACCAAAAAACTTAAACCCCCAAAGTCAAAAGCGCACACACACTAACAGGCACTGTAGCACCCATAAGCACACTCCTGAACTCCCAAGGCACAGCCCCGCTACTCCCAAGGCACAACTCTGTGTCTCCCACGCCCAGTCCCTCCGCCGGACTTCAACCACGCTTGACCCCTCCGCCGAACTTCACCCACTATTGACTCACCCAAGGTGGAAACATACCCTCTGCCGGACTTCAATGTTGGTCCTCCTTTCATTGGCCTTTGTCAGGAAAGCTATTGAAGAAATCCATCATATCCTTGTGCTGGTAGTTGTGCCTGTAATAACTCAGTCCGAAAACACCCATGGCCAAAGCTACCTTGGCCAAAGCCAGACACCCATGGAAATAAGACCCACTGCCACAGCTGAACAAAATCTACTATCACCTCCACTTCTATGGTCAAAACGGCTTCTTTTTCAACCCAAACACAGAAAACACACCCATCGTTGAAACTAATCCACCGCTCCTATATTGTTGACCCAAGGCCAACCTCCTCTTAATCAAAACAACCGCTGAGACACTACCACACATCTGGACGGAGTTCACCCCTCAAACTCCCATACGTATAGGAGCGCTCGAATGAAATCCTATACAAATCTGGATCATCTTCGACACTTATGCTTCCCCCCGAACAAAGCACCGAAACACCTCCATAGATCTGAACGGAGAACACCCCTCAAACTTCCACTCGCAAAGAAGCGCCTTAATGAACATCCTAGCCAAATCTGAATCGTCCTCTTTGCCGACTCAGTGAACATCCATAACGTTCACAAAAACACCCCAAAAAAAAAAAAAAAAAAAAAAAATCAACAGCAATAGCAACAAAACAAACGGAATTGGGTAGGGAAAAACTATGACGGTTTCAAGTTTGACTGAAGGAAAAACCAAGCAAAAAACACAAGAGGAAACTGGGCCAGCCAACTGCCATAGTCAATGGCAGCAACTGGCTAGCTGGCCAAAGCGAGACCTGGAGTGGAGATTTTAGAGAGAGAGAGAGAGAGAGAGAGAGAGAGAGTTACTTTAGGGCATTAAGGTCATGTGATATGAATATATCTAATTTAAACACACAATGAAATAAAATATTTTTTAAAAACAAAATGAAAATTTAAAAGATTTTTTTGTAATAAAATCTTAATTGGAGATGATTTTTTTCTAATTTATAATACATATGGGCATATATTTTATTTTTGTAATCTTTTTAGGGATTAAATAGATTTGAATTAAATATTTTAGGAACTTAATAGATTCAATTGATAGTTTAGGGACTAAATCGACTTTGATTTATATACTTTAAGTACTAAATAGATTTAATTGATAGCTCAGGGACTAAATAGACAATTTCATAATAGTTTAGGGGTAGAAAGTATAATAAACCCAAAAATAAGTCAGTTCAAGTAATTTCAGTTCCTTTTCATTTTCCTTGCGAAAATATAAGATTCAAACAAGTATAAGATTTAAAATAATGATACATTAAAAAAAAAAAAAAATTATCCAGGCGTATACAATCTATAATTCATATAAATCTCACCCAAAATAATATAACCGTGATGATTTTAAAATTATAATGTTGGATTTTTATTTTGAAATAAAAAACCACATTACTGAATCCATGCCAGGAGCAGTCAAGGGAGACACAGGGCTGCATCATACAGTCACAATTAGCAATATAACCTACCTTTCTTTTCACCATAAAATCAAAAGAGTATACAAGGATATAAAGTTCAATTGATTACATCTAGTTTCCACTGCATCACAGAACGCAATGAGAATGAGACAGCTAAAACACAACTTCAATAGTATAAAATTCTGTAAACCTAAGGAAGCAGAGAAAATATAATAACCTCTCAATGCGGTGCGACATGATGTGTATCAAGACATATTTGGCAAAAGCAAAATGTTAGATTGATCCCACTCACCAGGAGACTTCAACCAGCCCATGAGGATTAGCAAATATACCTTTTCAATCAATCTTCACCGATGAAAAAAGGTAATGGACAAAATAGAACGATGTGAGGAAGCCAATAGTCCCCGTACACATCATGACCGCAATGGCCATGATCAGTGAATAACCAATATAAAGTATAGCTGACACAGGTCCACTCAAGCTCTTGAGATAAAAAACCAGGTAATTGATCGAGTACAAGAACACATAAAGAGCAACGGAACCTGAAGCATAGAATGCTTTCCACCACCACTGCCAATCCTCAACACAGAGATGCATGTAGGTAAGGACCACAGATACTTCTGCACAAACGACAACCAACAAAAAGAAGACAACAAGCAGGAATCCAAAGACATAATAGAACCTCCCGAGCCAGATGCTAGTGAGGATGAAGAGAAGTTCAATGAATAGGGTTCCAAATGGAAGGGTCCCAGCCCCAAGAACAAGAAGCCATGATGGATATTTGCGTGCAGGGATCTCTCTTGGGATTTGGTTAGTTCGTACAGGGTATTGAATAGGCTCAGCTCGTGTTCCTAAGAAACCTCCCAAAAGGGTTAGCGGCACTGAAATGCAGAACCAGAGAGATAGGAGAATAAAATACAGGGAAATGGGAATAGCACCGATGCTTTTGTTACCCTAGAGAATAAAATTCAGCACAGTGAGGATAACAAAACAAATTCCTGAGAAGAAGCATGCAACCAACCAGGCAACTGACCTTCAACCATCTGAAGTCCCCTTGATCGTTCTCCATAAACGTACACCAGCATAACCAGCAAAAGTCCCCAGGAAAAGATAAAGAATTATCATACCTGTCAACAACATTCCTCGAGAAGCTGGTGAAATGAAACCAAAGGCAGCAAATACAATAGTAACAATAGCCATCCCGCTGATCTGAACCCCATCTCCAATCATCACACAGAGTAGCTTTGAGTGATTTGGTTCTCTGAACACATCGCCAACGACAAGCTTCCAGCCTGAAAGCTCCTCATTCATCTGTGCTTGAGCTTCTTTGTCCAATTCCTCGTACCTTGCCAAATCCCTTCTGACTGTTCGTAAAAATATAACAAAAACAATACCAGCTAAGAAAAGGATCACCATTAGTGAATTCAGGATGGAAAACCAGTGGACTCGAGCACCTTCCATTTTCAGGTAAGCATCCCATCGAGATGGCCATCTAATATCACTCCCAACAAATTCAACTTCATAAGTGAATGATACTCTCTCTCGCTCCCTTATTATCTGAGATTTGTCAAGTTCCAACGGGCAGTTTACAGAGATATTGTCATACATATGGAGTTTTGACATCACATCGGGGTCATGTTTAACACTGCAAGGGACAACCTCAAAACCGACTATCTCATATCCAGAAGCCTTCTTCTTATCAGCTTGCGAAATTACACCCATACCCTCTTCCCCAGTACCAATTATCTGCACCCCTGCCCCTTCATACTCATGAACCAAAACCCTGAACTTGAGGTGATTGATCACATAGTCTTCATTACTATCTGGCGGTGTATACCCAACAGGAAACCCAGTCCATTGAATCTTATTTCCGTTTTGTTGAGCAAACCTCATGGCAGGCAAATTATCCAAAATCATATTTACTTGATACAGATCACGAGTCCTCTGTTTCAATAACATTACCTCGTGCTCACTTAATGGACTTGTAATGCAGAGGAATACAGATTCATTGATGTTCATTCGAAAACGGTACGGAGAGTTGTCAATCTGATCTCCCATAAGGAGTTCTCCAAGATTCTCAGCACTTTTCTTTATTCCCTCAGGGGGTTTGCAGTACGGGAGAGTGTAATAACCGAAGGGAAGCTCAGTTTCAATAGAGGTCAATGAATTAACTTTGGCAAATATTTCATGACCTGTTGAATATGTATGCATGTAGCTTCCCGGGAGGTAAAAACCATTGCAGGCGTGTGAAACAAGAACGGCATAAATGAAAGCTACCCAATATGCCCTTTTTGGGATCAACAAAGAAGCCATTGAGTTTGAAAAAGGAACACAAAGCAGATCCCTCAAAACTATTCTTAATCTAAGCTTACGCTAGCAGGTTTATTCCACATCAAATCTGCAGAAGTGAAATTTTTGTATCAGTCTTTCAAATTGATCTCACCTAATGGATATAACAATTAAGAGGATCTCCAACCATCCCTTCCCAGAGAGAAGGTAAAATTGGAATCATGTAAGAAAAGAAAAATCACTATTTTCAACTAGCAAAGTACAGATCGATTGTTTGACCAATAGAATACAAATAGCTACAGCCTATTTCAGATAAATAAGCATCAAACAGTCCTACCCCAAAATACACTATTATGTAATTACATATACAAGCACAAATATAAACACTTATCACTGAGGATGTATATAGGAATATATACATAAAGATTTAATACACAAAATATTATTTGTTCACCTACAGATCCATCAACTAACCCAAAAATATAAAAAAGCAAGCTTCAAACTAGGAAAATTCAACAGCCAGCACTTCAAATCAAGGGCAGAGAAAATTGAAAGCCAGATCAGAGAACTAAACACAATTCCACAAACTCTATAAACAAAGCGAAGAACAAACGTGATAAAGTTAGTGTTGAAGAGAAACGTGAAGTGAACACTGTGTTCCTCATAGATCTATAGACGGCAAGAGAGCGAGAGAGAGAGAGAGAGAGAGATTGAAGACGAACCAGCGCCAGATTGCGTAACTCAGCAACAGTCTTGTTCGATTCGACTCTGTTCGCCTAAGATCAAGAGTTGTAGAATCGATACAGATATTCAATTTTCTGGGTTTGATATTAGCCCTATATATGTGTGCTCCAATAACTCGATTTAGATCTCATTGATGGTGTTACTATATTAGCCCTAAATATCTATGCTCCAATAACTCGATTTAGATTTCATGGTTTCAGTTTTTAAAGTTTTTTATTTTTTTGTATTTTTTTATTTTTAATAAATATTTTTAAAATTTTAAATAAAATTTTATTTTAGATGCATATTTAGATGTGTTTAAATAATAAAATACTAGTGAAAAAATATTTTAAAAAATTAATAAATATATAAAAATATAAAAAATATATTGAATTTTTATTTTTTAAATTTTTGTATTTTTGTTATTTAATAAATTTTTTAAAGATTTCTTTCACAAATATTATATTTTTTAAGTATATTTATGTTAATTGTCTAAAAATTAAAAAAATCTTAAAATATTAAAAAAATTATTGAAAATAAAAAAATATGAAAAATAAAAAATAAAATTTTCTAAAAAGTGTTTTTTGGAAATTAAAACCAAACAAGTTGATTACAATGGGAGTGTTTGGTGTGGATTATAGGGAGTGATTATAGTTTATTTTAATTTGAGAATCTGTATTAGACTGTTTGGTGCAGTTTCTGCTTACAGCTTTTTAGGCAGAAATATTTAAAATAAATTGAGAAAAACTAATTATTTAAAAGCTAACGAAAAGATACTTTTGATTTCTGTTTTTTGATTACTAGCTTTTGATGTGTATAAGCCCATAAAGGCCATGAATCACTATGAACAAACCCAAGCCCATCACTTGGAGCCCAATACATAACCCAGCTGGTAAGGTCCAGGACAGCTGGAATCCAACATGGCATAAAGAGCCAATGATATTCAGACACATGGCAGGTGAAGGACGAGCCACATCAACAGACAAAGATCTGTAAAGTTATTGCCACTGCGCATCACCATTAATGCAGCCCATCACAGCATTTATTACGACAATATCTCTCCGTCGGAACAGGACCCCCTTATCCTGAACAAGGTAAGCTACAGCATAGACTTTCGGCGAGGAGGGCAGGTCGGAAGGGACAACGAAATGATTATCAAAGGATATAAGCAAACGTTGAAGACAAGAAGAAGGTTAAGTTTTTCTATCTCTAATCTCTCCCTCTGTACTCTACTTCTCTTCCTAACTTGCTCGTCAGAGGGTTCATTGGGGAACTACCCAGTTTCCCGTTGAACTTGTTTGTAGGTTATCCAGTGGGCTTGATCATTTGGACGTGGGCTTGAGGAGCTTGGACTAGTCCGATCCATTCACTGGAACAAACTGTATCATCAGTTGGCGCCGTCTGTGGGAAAGACTTTGCTTCGCGCGCCAGTTGTGCTCATTGTCGCCGGAGACCCTATCGCAACAACCTCTTCCTCCTACCTATCAAAGTGTATGGTCACGACTAGATCCATGACTTCTCACAATAATGCTGCCGACCATTAGGCCGACCCCCCCAATCCAAACAACCCACCGTAGTATTTTATCGAGCTTACCAACAGCATTAACCGCATGGCCGAGCAAAACCAGGCCTTGATAAATGCTTTACTCCAAAGAAACCTTCCGATGCCTCCTCCACCACCTCCAGATATTCCACCCAACCAAGAAAGAGCCCCGAGCCATACTGTTCCGCAACCCTATCCACCCAACTTGGAAGGTTTGCAACCTCCTCCCTCACATATAAATTTACCACCTTCACTCCCACACCCATTGGTCGTGGCACCAGCCCCTGAAGGGGAAACCAGCAACGTCCAGCCCCCATTGACTGACCGTGGTGACAACATTCCCCTCTGGGACGCTGAACTTCGAGCAATGAAGCTCCAACTCCAAGGGGTCATGCAGAACATTCAGTATAAACCCTCTACCATGGCATACTCACCATTTGTTGCCTCCATCCGGGACAAACCTTTGCCCGCCAATTCAAGATGCCCGCCAAGTTCAAGATGCCCACCATTGACTCTTTTGACGGTACGACGAACCCAGTCGACCATCTGGAGACCTACCGAACCCTCATGATCCTCCATGCCTTCCCTGACGAGATCATGTGTCGGGCTTTCCCCGTGACACTGAAGGGGTCAGCTCGACTGTGGTTCAGCCAGTTACCAGCAGACTCTGTCTCCACTTTCCAGCACCTCAGCGACTCCTTCCTTAGCCATTTCATTGGAGCCCAGCGCCAACGCCGCCCGACAACCCAACTCCTCAACATCCGTCAGACTGAGGGGGAGTCGTTGCGCAGTTTCGTTACCCGCTTCAACACCGAAGCCCTGCAAGTAGCGAAAAACGATGACAAGGTCATCCTCACGGCTTTCATGGCCGAGCTACGATCGTCCGATTTCCTCTTCTCCCTCTCCAAAAACCCCTTGACCTCTATGGCAGCCCTATTCTCCAAAACCCAGAAATACATGAATGCTGAAGATTCACTAGCAGCTCAGTAGGATCGAATAGCTAAAAACCCGACCCCCAGAGAAAAGAGAAAAGACTCAGAACTCAGAAACACCCAGTATAATAGCCAAACACCCCACTATACAGACCGACCTCCCCGCGCTGACCAGTCGGAACCAGCCCGATCGCCCGGTCGGTTCGAACGGTACACCCCCCTTAATTCTCCCATGGAACAAGTCCCCAACCAGATCCAATGGGACTACCCCCTTAAATGGCCCCTACTTTCACGGACCCCTTCTAATCGGAAAGGCCAGTCCAAATATTGTCGTTTCCACCAGAACCATGGCCATAACATTGATGACTGCATCAACCTCAAGGATCAGGTCGAGACCCTAATACGTCAAAGGCGTCTCAGCCGGTTCACGGACACTCGTCCTCAGCAGAGGCAAAGAACCGAGCCCCTCAGAAACAACCGTCGGTGCACCCCACCCCGGCAGCCAGCCCAACCTAACCAAGGCCATGATCGCCCTCCACAACAGCCTCGGCCGCCAGGTAATCCCCTTCCGCCAGTTGGTGAAATCCGAGTCATTTCAGGTGGCCTTGCTTGTGAGGGACCATCCCGCTTGGCTCAGAAGGCAGAACTCAGAAAGATAAGGCAAGCTCAGACAAAGCAGCTGCCACGGTAGACTGACCCTCCAAACAGCCCAAGCAGTGGACAGAGCCCATCACCTTCACAGACGCCGACTGTACAGGCATCCGTTATCCTTATGATGACCCTCTCGTCATTTCTGCCCTCCTCTCCAACTATAAGGTCAGACGGGTTCTCATCGACAACGGCAATTCTTCAGACATCATATTCCTCAGCTACTTCCGCCAGCTCAAGATTGGAGAGGAAAGTCTGTCCCCCCCTCCAAACCCCTTTGGTCGGTTTCACTAGCGACTGGGTGACCTCCTTCGGCTCCATCGATCTCCCCATCACCATCGGCGAATACCCACGGCAGACTACCAGGTTGCTCACTTTCCTTGTGGTCGACTGTCTCTCTGCCTACAACATTATCCTTGGTCGCACCGCCCTCAACGCTTTCCAAGCTATCACTTCAACCTACCACCTCGCCATAAAGTTCTCTACCGACCTGGGCGTCGGGACAGTAAGGGGAGAGTAGACCGTAGCCAGGGAATGTTATGTCGCCTCACTCAAGGAAGTCAAGCTGAAGGAGGCCATGATCATTGAAGGACTTGACGTCCGAGATGAGGACGAGCTGGTTAGAGGAGAACTGGTGGAGGAGCTCGTTGAGATTCCCATCGATCCCACCAACCCAATGAAAACTGCCAAGATCAGTAGCCAACTATCCCCCCAAGCTAAGGCCGACCTCACTGCCCTTCTGACCGAGCACAATGATGTATTTGCCTGGACTCATTCAGACATGCCAGGCATCGACCTCTCTTTCATAACTCACCGCCTCAGCATTGAACCCCATTTCTGACCTTACCACCAGAAGCAGCGCATCTTTCATCGGGAGCGCAATACTCTTATAGCTGCAGAGGTTGACAAGCTCCTTGAGGCCCAATTCATCAAAAACGTAGACTACCCTAAATGGTTGTCAAACGTGGTCCTAGTCCGCAAGAACAATGGCAAATGGTGACTCTGTGTCGATTACTCTGACTTGAACCGAGCTTGCCCCAAAGACAGCTATCCTTTTCCCCGCATAGATCTGCTGGTCGACGCTACGACCGGTCATCAAATGCTCAGCTTCATGGATGCTTTCTCTGGTTACAACCAAATCCTGATGCACCCGTCCGATCGGGAACATACATCTTTCATTACCGACTGAGGTACCTACCACTACCGTGTGATGCCATTTGGATTGAAGAACGCTGGGGCCACCTACCAATGGTTGGTCAATGCCGTTTTCCATCACTAGATAGGTCGGAATATGGAAGTATATGTCGACAACATGCTAGTCAAGAGCAAACTCTCCACTGATCATCTGATCGACCTGCGAGAGACCTTCGTCACTCTACGCAAGTACCAAATGAAGCTCAACCCAGAGAAGTGCGCCTTCGGCGTAGGATCTGGGAAGTTTTTGGGTTTTATGGTCAATCAGCGGGGCATTGAAGCTAACCTTGAAAAGATCAAGGCTTTGATCGAGATGCAGTCACTTAGAACGGTTAAAGAGGTTCAAAGACTCACTGGCCGAGTTGCAGCCCTCAACTGCTTCATTTCCCGCACAACGGATAAGTGCCTACCATTCTTCAAAGTTCTTCGGCAAACTTTTGAATGGACGGCTGAATCCGAAGAGGCTTTTCAATAGTTGAAGCAGTGCATGGCCAACCCCCCCTCATTTCACAGGCAATTACAGGCGAGCCCCTCTTCCTCTATTTAGCCGTATCAAGCACCGCTGTCAGTGCAGCTCTTATTAGGGAAGACGGCTCTGTCCAACGACCGGTCTACTACATCAGTCGGGCCCTCAGGGGAGCGGAGCAGAACTACCCACTGTTAGAAAAATTGTCTTTGGCCTTGGTCACCGCCTCCAGACGACTCCGTTCTTACTTCCAAGCCCACTCTATAGTGGTCCTCACCGACCAACCCTTGAAGAAGGTCATGCAGCAACCAAAATTTTTTGGCAGACTTATGCAATGGTTAGTGGAACTCAGCCAGTTTGACATCTCTTACCGGCCTCGAACAGCAATTAAGGGGCAGGCTATCGCCGATTTCATCCTAGAATTCACTAATCCTACCTCAACCACTGCCTCTCCACGCCCACCAGCTCCCATCGAGCCAGAAGACCCTCATTCTTGGACTCTCAATGTCGACGGATCATCCCGCAGGGAAGGTAGTGGGGCTGGCCTCATCCTCACCGCCCCTGAGGGTGGTTATTTCAAATGTGCTCTCCATTTCTTGTTTGAGGCCAGTAACAATGAGGCCGAATACGAGGCATTGATAGCAGCTCTTCGCCTAGCCAGGGATATTGGTGTCAGCCACATCCGAGTGTTCAGCGACTCCCAGCTCATCGTTGGACAGATCACGGGAGAATTCGATGCCAAGGAGGACACAATGCGGGCTTACAGGGACATTTCACTTCCCTTTGTTCGCCTCTTCAATACCTTCCACATCAAGCACATTCCTCGGGCAGAAACTCTAAGGCAGATGAGATGGCTCAGTTGGCTTCCGCAGACCAGTCTGACCTCAGCCGTGGTGTCCGCCTCGAATACCTATCCCACCCCGCCATTTCCCCTGACCAGCACGAAATACAATTCCTCCAAAATGAGCCAATCTCTTAGGCGTCGGACATCTTGCTATTTCTGACAATGGGGGAACTTCCAGACGACCAACAGCAAGCCGCCAAAGTCAGGGCCCGGTCGTCCAATTACATTCTTGTCAGCGGCATTTTGTACAAACGTGGTTTCTCACGCCCCTATCTGTGGTGCCTCAATCCGGCTCAAGCAACCTATGTGATGCAAGAAATTCATGAGGGTATCTGTGGCAATCACTCAGGCGGCAGGTCCCTGACCCACAAGATACTTTGCACTGGATATTTCTGGCCTACTCTCAACCACGATGCGACTAACTTCATGCTTAAATGTGATAAGTGTCAGCGTTTTGCCAACATCCCCCATGCTCCTCCTACTGAATTGATCACACTTTGTAGCCCCTACCCGTTCGCCAAATGGGGGATCGACCTAGTTGGTCCTTTACCCACCGGCTGAGGCCATACCAAATTTGCCATTGTCGTCATTGATTATTTCACTAAGTGGGTAGAAGCAGAACCCCTTGCCACCATTACCAAGCGGAACACAACCAAGTTCATCTGGCAGTCGATCGTTTGCAGGTTTGGCATCCCCCAGGCCATCATCTCCGACAACGACAAACAATTCGACAACACCAAGTACAGGAAGTTCTGTGCAGACCTCCAGATTCAACCATGTTTCTCTTCCCCCGGTCATCCCCAAGCCAATGGCCAAGTTGAGGTCACTAACCTTTCTCTTCTGAAGATCGTCAAAACCAAGCTAGAAGCTGCTAAGGGACTTTGGGCTGAGGAACTACCAAATGTACTTTGGGCTTACCGAACTACAGCTCAGACTCCTACTGGGGAAACCCCTTTCCGCTTAACATACGGCGCTGAGGCGGTTATTCTGGTGGAAGTCGGTCTGCCTACTCCTAGGGTTTTACATCTGGATCCAGCACTAACGGAAGAGCTCCATCGGGTAGACCTAGATCTAATTGAAGAACTCAGAGACACCACTGCTGTCAGACTGGCTTCATACCAACAGAAAATGAGAACACACTACAACCGCAAAGTCCGACCAAGGGAGTTCGCTGTAGGGGACCTTGTCTTGAGAGAAGCAACTCTTGCCACCAAAAATCCGACTGAGGGTAAACTGGCAGCCAAATGGGAGGGACCTTACGTTGTGCAAGCCCGACCACATCCGAGCACCTACCGACTTCAGGACATGGAAGGTCGATACCTTCCCCATCCCTGGAACGCTGAACACTTAAAGCGCTACTTTCAATAAATTCCTACTGTTTTATTGCTCAGTTGTTGTATTTTCTTTTTGATGCATAATGTAAACTTTGATCGACTGGACTACACTGTCCATAACAACAATTTTATATCTCAGCTATCTGTGTGTTGTCTCAATAACATTTTCATTTGCAGCATTTATTAACAGTCTCAGCCAGACTGAGCACCAGAAGCCTCAGCCAGACTGAGCACAACAAGCCTCAGCCAGACTGAACACAAAAAGCCTTAGCCAGACTGAGCACAATAAGCCTCAGCCAGACTGAGCACAAAAAACCTCAGTCAGACTGAGCACAACAAGCCTCAGCCAGACTGAACACCAGAAGCCTCAGCCAGACTCAGCACCAGAAGCCTCAGCCAGACTCAGCATAACAAGCCTCAGCCAGACTGAGCACCAAAAAGCCTCAGCCAGTCTGAGCACCACAAGCCTCAGTCAGATTGAGCACCAACAGCCTTGTCCAGACGAGCGCCAAAAAGTCTCAGCCCGACTGAGCATGAAACACTCGGCCAGACCAAACCTCAGCCAGCCTAAGCATAACAAGTCTCCGCCAAGACCGAACGCCACAATTTCAAGTTCAGACTGAGTTACTTACAACGTCAGTGAATCATAGCTTAGCCCCAACTGAGCACGCATGCAGGGCTCGGTCAAGGCCACCCATGCAAACTTCATGCTAGTGGAATTAGTAGACACACTTAGTCACAATTCCAGCTCCAAGTCTTTACACCACTCTTTGCTCAGTCAAATTCCAAAGTCGTTCTTACACGTTTTCTTTACAAGTCAAGTTATTTTCTTCTCAATCAAACTCATACAAGTCAGCCTCTTTCCTTACAAGCCAAGCCTCACTCCATAAACCACTAACCTACTTGAGCAGCGTAGCAAACACCAACTTATAATTTTATTACATTTTAAATTTCACTCTGCATTGAGGAGTTCCTAACTTTACTCTGCATTGAGTTTTTATTACAACTTCAATCCCACTCTGTCTTAAGGAATTCCTAAATTCAGTTTTTATTACAAGTCTAACTCCACTCTACACTTCACAATGATTCATACACAAGCTCCACACACAAGCCACCATTCTCATCCATTTCAGATGCACAAGAAAAAACAATCAAATGCAAAACACAACTGAAATTTTATTTATTCACAACTTTGTACATAAGTTCATTACAACAATTCAAAAAAAAAAAAAAAACAAACAAACAAACAAAACAAAACAAAAACAACCACACAATGTCTGTGCAATGTCTTCTTCTTCTTCTTCAATTACTCCCCTTCGCTGGACACAAGGTCTTCTTCTTCAATACCCTCATCTAGAGGGGTCTGGGCCACATCGTCGTCGTCGATTTTCACACTACTCAGGTCCAAGTCTGGGAACAGCTCCTCAGCTTTACGCTTGAACATCTTCCAACCACTGTCCTAGAACTCAGCCATTTCGTGTTTATAAAAGTCTGACCGCTAGAAGCTCTCAATCACTTCCGACTCAGTCCTGCCCCCAGCGGTCGTCCTCGATGGGCCTGCCCCCCCAGACTCCTCCCTCACCAAGCTGCTGGCGACTGCGGCATCAACTGCCATATGAAATTCAGCAGACCCCTTGAACTGATCCACTGCTGCAATGCACAGATCGGGGTATGCCGCCCTTTCAGAGGCTGCCTTAGCCCTCTCTTCGTCCAGATCCTTCTGCAGGGTTGCCCTTTCAGAGGCCGCCTTAGCCCTCTCTTCCTCCAACTGCTTCTGCAGGGTCGCCCTTTCAGAGGCTGCCTTGGCCCTCTCTTCAGCTAACTCCCTCTGCACGCTCGCCCTCTCAGCAGATGCCTTGGCCCTCTTCTCCTCCAACTCCTTTTGCAGGCCGTCCCTCTCTTCCATTGCCTTCGCGCGCTTTCTGTCCAGCTCCCTTTGCAGACCGTCAATCTTCACGTCTGCCTCATCCTTCTGTTTAACCAACTCTTCATTACTGGTCATCGCCTCTTCATGCCGTTCGAGCGCGACCGCGCAGGCTTTTCGGGCCTCCTCTAGCTTCCTCTGCTCGCCAGCCAGCTAGAACTCGAGCGACACAACCTGGCGGCGTTCGTTCTCCAGCTCCAACTTGACCGCTCTCAGCTCAGCATGGGCACTCTCCCAGTGCACACTCTTCTTTTTCAACCTTGCAAGTTGAGCCTTGGCCTCATCTACCTTAAGTTTTGCAGCCCCTGCCTTTCTCAGCAGAGCCCCTGCTAAGGTGGTTACCTCCATTTGAGCGGAGCATAACCCCCTCAGCAGCTCAACCTCATTGAATCTGGTTGCTGAGTGCAAGGCTGCCTCTTCCACAATCCCCACAAGGCGGTCTGCCCCTGCCCTGGCTGGGCCTTCTTCTCCCTCCAGCTGCCCAGCCACTGCATGAGCATGGTAGATCGCAGTAGTCAGACTGACTCCCCCTCCTTGGGGTGCAGGACCCCCCTGGGGCTGTTCTCCCCTTCTCCTCTCCTTGGCTTAGGGCCAGTTGCCCCACCTTCTACTTGCACTTCGGGGGTGGCCCTCACTACCTCTGTGGTGATCCCCACCACTACTGGGACGACCTCCATCCCTTCCGACGTGATGTCCACCACTTTTGGGACGACCACCCTTCCTGGGATCTCCTCTACTCCCCCCCTCTCTGCCTCCTTGGCCACACTAGTCTCTTCTGCCCTTACTTCCCTCATTTTCTTCAAGGCAGGCTCTTCTTCACTTCTCTTCACTCTCCTCTTCTTCTTCACTACGCCCCCCCACCTCCATCTCCTTCAAAGCCCTCTCTTTCAAGGGATCTGTTAGGGGCGGTCGTGGCACAAATTCACTTAAGTATTTTCCCCCCAAGGGTTTGGGGCGAGGTCGGATCCTCTCCCTTGCAACCGGCTTTGGCGGTCGGTCTACCTGTGACTCTTTGAATTTTTGGGCTTTGGCCAAGATGGTCTGCTCCTCCGCCTCTTGAGCCTTCCTCCTTGCTTCCAACTCCGTTTGATCGAGGTCCCCACCACTCGGCTGTGGACCCAACCTTGCCTCAAACAAAACCGACGGCTGAACGAGCTCGTCCCATCTGGCCCCTTCATTCTCCCTTCATTGCTTTACCCTCTTCACCCTCTTCTCTGCTGCTACTCCCAGCTTTGGTTCCACAGACTTGGTGGGCACTTTCCAAATGGTGCGCACTCCAACCTCTCCACTGACAAACACATAGAACCACCGTGGTCTCCACCCCTTGATTGACGACGGCAGCCGCGCCACCACCCCTTTCCCTGCTGCTGCCTGCAGAGTGACCCAAGTCTCTTGCTGCCCTGAGGCCTTGTAACGTGCGAAGAATTCGTCTACTGTCATGGCCGCCCCTTCGTTCGCTTTCGGCCACGCACTTGCACAGGCCAGTAAGATCTTCCATGCATTGGGCATTAGTTGGCCCGGCGCTACCTCCAAACGATTCAGGTCATCTACCACCACTTGCGGCAGGAGTAGCCTCAGTGCTCCCTTCAATGCTTCCTCATAAAGGGCAAATTCCCCTGGCCTGGCGTCGGATGGCCTCTCTATCGACATTGGCAACAATAACTCTATTTCAGCAGGCACCTGGTATTTTTCGCGAATAGCCTCCAAATCCACTGCAGTAACCGTTGATCTATCTGCCTTTGTATGCCAGTGATCTGGTTCTGCCTGGCTGATTGGCTTTGGAGCTGCTATCATGGGGGAACCATGGGATCGTACCACCGACTCCCCCACCCTCTCCATCCTATATTGTTGTGCTAACTCCACTGCATCATCACCCTGACATTCACAGCTTCTTTTTGGGCCATTTCTATGGTATGTCTGCGAATCGCTTCAGATACAGGTGCAAGGAAATTGAAAAAGTGTTGCAGAGGCATATCGTGAGCAACAAAGGAATTCACACTTGGAATATTTTGATTTTTCGTAAACAAGTAGGTGAATCGAATAATGCCAAAAGCCCACGGTTTGCCCGTATTCCGAGGATCCCAATTAATTTTCACCAGTTTGAAAACTTTTCAAATCATTCGCCAAAACTGTCTTTTCAACACCCATAATGACCTATCGTTTTATTTCTGATCTAATGCCTAATCTCCCCCCCGCGGGATGTTGCCACGTGTACGACCATGATCCATTATCTCCTCTTCTTACCCTATCTTTTCCACTTCAAATCACCACGTGACACGTCGCCTCTCGAGCCCCACGCCTCTCCACCTCACCCTTCGCGGTCGACCCTCCCACTCAGTCACCCTTCGCAATCGGCCTTCCTCGTGGTCGACCCTCCCACTCGGCCAACCTTTGCGGTCGGTCCTCCTCGTGGTCGGCCCTTCCACTCGGTCACCCTGCACGGTCGGACCACCTCCCGGTCGGTTCACCCTCTCGGTCACCCCTGCCGGTCGACCTCCATCTTGCCAATCCCTAACACCCTCATCTTCTTCATTAGTATTCCCTTCGTTGGACTAAAGCTGCACTCGGGAATGAGGGACTGCTGACGTGTATAAGCTCATACAGGCCATGAATCACTATGAACAACCCAAGCCTATCACTTGGAGCCCAATACATAACCCAGCTGGTAAGGTCCAGGACAGCTGGAATCCAACATGGCATAAAGAGTCAATGACATTCAGACACATGACAGGTAAAGGACGAGCCACATCAGCAGACAAAGATCTGCAAAGTTATTGCCACTGCACATCACCATTAATGCAACCCATCACAGCATTTATTACGACAACACCTCTCCGTCGGAACAGGACCCCCTTACCCTGAATAAGGTAAGCTACAACATAGACTTTCGGCGAGGAGGGCAGGTCGGAAGGGACAGCGAAATGATTACCAAAGGATATAAGCAAACGTTGAAGACAAGAAGGTTAAGTTTTTCTATCTCTAATCTTTCCCTCTGCACTCTACTTCTCTTCCTCACTTGCTCGTTGGAGGGTTCACTGGGAGACTACCCAGTTTCCCGTTGAACTTGTTTGCAGGTTATCCGGTGGGCTTGATCATTTGGACGTGGGCTTGAGGAGCTTGGACCAGTCTGATCCATTCACTGGAACAAACTGTATCATCAGCTTTTAATTTACAATAAGTTACATCAAATAGTATTAATACAAAGCAATTATTGCTGTGTAATGTGCAATGGGCTAGTTTGAGCTTATTGTAGGGCTTGGGCCGAACGGGACAGAGTTCTATATCTAGAGGCCGTGTAAACCATACATTTTTTTTTTAGAAGATTCATTCTTCTTTTACATTACATGTGGGTTTTTTTTATCTCTTTGGCCAAGTTTGATTTATGGAGTTGGGTAGAAATTTAGAACGAGAAAGAAAAAAATATATATTATATTTTATTCATATTTTATTTTTTCTTTTTTAAATCTCTACACAAATCTATAAACCAAGCATAACTTTTTATTTGTTTGAAGATGTTTCTGTGAGTATATATTTATATATATTTTTTAATATATAAAAATAATTATGATTGAAATACATAGAAAAATATGTTAAGATTGTGGTGAAGTTTTCTCAAACCTATTATTTGAACACATTTGCCACTCGTTGCCTTTTTAGAATTATCAACATTATCATTTTATCAATAATTTTCTTTTTTTCTTTATTGTTTTATTTATTTATTTATTGTTGTTCAAAAAACAAAACAAACATAACAATTTTGAAAAGTTTAAATATACTGCATTTTGTTTAATTCTCCCTTGAGTTGAGCATACTCAAGTTGCATTTATATTTTGTGATGACAAAAAACCATATTTCATGCAGCTTTTTTAAATCCACATTATAGCTTTTCTCATAATATAATTCTTCCTGTGATCAAGCCTAGCAAGAATTGCTTTAGAGATGAGAAAGTTACTTCATAGATGAATTCATCATTCTCAGCCTCTATTCTCCTTGCAAAAACGACATTCAAAGCATGGCAGTGAATAATCAAAGTAAACAGATAAAGAAGAAGATTGGGAGGAGATTTGACTGGATACAGGTTACACTGCAGTTTTCACAAAATTCATGAAAAAAATTAATAGTATGACATGTGATGCCAAAACAGTGAGAGAAAAAAATTGTAAGATGTCTTAATTTTTATAGCATTACTCTACAAAAAAAAAAAAAAAAAAAAAAAAAAAAAATAAAAAAAAAAAGAAATGAAAGTAGGACCTGAAGGAGTGAAATTCACTGGCCTAAGAGATATCAAAGAAGAGGAGTACTGAATCGCAGGGAAGGCAATTGAATGTTCTACACCTCTAATGAGAGATATGATAATAATCTCCTTAAAAGAAAAAAGCAAGAATTAAAATAAAGGTCAAAATATATAATGTTAAGGCCAAGTTTGGAAAGTCTAAAAAAAGTTAAAAAGTCAAAAAGTTACTCAAAAAGTTAAAAAGTTATCACTATTCATCAAAAGTCAACAATTACGACTGCACATTAATTTATACAATTTTTTAATACACATTTTTTCATAAAAAATTAAAAAGTTAATCCAAACATTCATACTTTCAACCTCAACTTTTTAGTCTAAAAAGACAAAAAGTAAACTTATTTAGGACACTCCAAACAACCCCTTAACACCAAGGACAAAATCATACATTTGAGCGCACATATAAATATTGGAGCCTGCCAGATAATTTATGCAGTTATATCCAAGTAGCACCACCATGAAACTAGTTTGGCAAATCCAGTATGAATGGGGATCTGATTTGGATCATCAGATGGTAACCCCAACCTCTAAACCCTTGTTCCTTGAGATATCATTCATCTGTAAATAAGAAGAAGAATAATAATTATTAAAACAATAGATAGATAAGAGAGATAAGGCATTATGAAAAGCTAAACAAGTAGAGATTTCAAGTGGTAGAAAACAAAAAAGCATAATGCAGAATCCATACAAGTAGATAGCATTTGGAAAATTCAAAAATGTCTTTCCTGCCACTTTGTTTTTGTTTTTTTTTTGGGATCATGAAGTAGGACCAAATGTTAGATCTATACAATAAACAAAATCATCATCATTGAACAGAGAACAAGTAACCACTGAAATTCTATCTTTTATTTTTCAAATTTTGGGACACCATAACTGTGAGGGAAGTTACAGATAGAACTGAAATAAACATCCAAGTTTAGAAACAAAGTTCTACAAACAGTTAAATCAAACCTAGTAGATCGAAACTATTCACCAATTTGTAGTCCGATGTTTCTTCAAATAAGTCATAAATACTCAAGAACTTCTGATAATTAGCAATCTATTTTTACCTGCAAAAACAATAAATTCAGGGCACTTTCGAGTGTACTTCTCTCATTGCAGCATTGAAGATGCAACAGATAAATGCTAAAATCATTTTATCATTTGAGCCAGAAATAACAACAATCAAAGCATGAATGAAGATTATAAACTTCCATAACAATCACCTATATGATATGCAATTTCAAGGGAGTAGTTCTTGCCAAATAAGTCATGGCCTACAGTTGCCAAGACAGGTGAACATTCAACAGTCAGATGGTCCAAAGGTTTAGGTGGAATTGGACTTGGTGGAGTATAAGCACCTCACAGGGAACTGCCCTTGTGAAAAAGAGTTGCCCTGTGAAACTTAGTCACACCAAAGTTTCTGGCACACTTAGTGTGACTCTAGGTCCTGTAGCTTGGAGGCTAGGGATAGATTGGCGACCGCAAATATTAGACAATCACACAACGTTAAGGTTTATTAACAATTGAGGAATTTGTATTGTTTTACAATATCCCACTTCACAACTGCAGAGCACAACCACTGATATACACCGCAAGGTATTTGTGATAACCTTACCCCGTATTTTGCTCAATGGACATCATACATATGTTACTTGCTTCCGCTTGGGCCCCATAATTAAAAATATTTTGTACATTGTATGAGGCCGTAGGTAATCAAGTGATTGCTGGTGATTATGATCCAAATTTTTAGGAGCGAGTTTGAATCATGACAGTATTTTCTTTCTTAAAAAGCTACTTTCTGACAAATGATTTTCCTACCGTTCATAGTTTCAACATATATCTTGGAAGTAACTAAATTCCTATGACATTATCACTTACCTCACTAAAATTCCTCATAAAACATTAGTTACTACGTTTTCTCAATTCTTCACGGATGCAATTGTAATGTGCCACACAAGTAAATTAAATTTACACCTCACCTACAATAAATTCGTAAATCTTATGGCACATGCATTAGCTCTCTCACACCAAACACGGTCCTAAGACCCACCTATTCCTTCTTCTATTCTTTTTAATAATAACGGCCTTTCTCTTCTTCACTTTTGACGGGAGGTATACCTCTTCTTGCAACATTCTGGATCACTCAGTTCAAATTACCTCAACTATTCATTTATTATTTTTCCTCCATCATGATGATTCTTCTACTGCTCCTCTCCATCAAGCGAAACATTCTCTATATCTATCAAAGGAAGGAAACATATATTTACATTTTCAAGTAAACCACATATATTAGCAGCAATGAAGGATTGGTAAGGCAATTTACCAAAGTTGATGTTTGTTGTTTTGTATTCCTTAGTTCACCCTTTTCCAACAATAATACACTCCACTGGAAACAAAAATTGAAATATGGAGGCCAAGACATCATCCAAAACCAACCAAGAACAGGGAAAATGAAAGAAATCGACAAGTAAAATCTTAAAGAAAGGCCTATAATGATACTAAAGTAGGTAAATAATCGCGCCCAAACCCCTTTTCTCTCCTCCCTGGCATTCAAAACCAGCTACACCACTTCAGGTCTACAAATACAAAAGAAAGAAGCATTCAAGAAAACTAACCTCCCAAATTCAAGTCATATCGGAACCTTCCGGCCTTTAAAAGTGTTAATTAGAAAATGCTAATATCCTAATGAATGCACGTTAAACAAAGGGGACATCAAAACAAGAAACACTAAAAAGGTCCTCAGCCGTACAAAGTAAGCAACTCAATGAATTATTAGCAAATATTAAAGACACGCATGGTTGAATATGTACACAAATGGTTACAAAATGGATAGGTCCAGAATTTTTACTTTCGTAAAATCATTCAAAACAACCAGCCAGCATGAGTAAGGAAAGAAGAAACATCCATCATCAATCAAATTCCTGTTTTCTTTCAGTATGTAAAATACATTGAACTGAATAGTTTTTAGATTATAGCTGAATATCAATCTGGGAATAGCAATGAAATAACTTCTGAAGATGGATATAAAGCGCAAGGCATGAACAGCGGAGAAAGGCGATAGCGGTCTAAAATCCTGCCGTGATGAAACAAAACCAAGTCATCAATGCAGATGCTATGCTTCAAAATCCACTGATGGTCATGGTCAAGTGACCAAACAAGGATTGCATTTTCAACATGATTAGAGTAATAGAAGCAATCTTTGGACATCCCAATGAATCCAACACCAAGAGCCTTACCCTAGTTCGGGAGCTTCACAGCTCGGGGATTCAAATTATCGGCACTGAGATCAAAACACAAGAGGTACTTAGTGTAAGATAACATGTACAACAGCCCATCCAAATAAACAGACTTGCAAAGCCACTTGAAACCATAAAGCTCAGGTTCAGGCTGGAGTGGAACTGGCTGGTTGACCCACTTGCCGGTAACTGAGGAGAAAACATTCAGCTCCGGCGGATGAGTTACAGTGGCAGTGCTGGCAGAGCTAGCAAACCGAACTATTTTATAATTATTATTAGAATTATTCGGTGGGTACTCAACAGGATTAAAAACAAGTACAGCATATATGGGATCTAGATGATTAGGGTTCACGGGAATAGCCACACATTGTTTTGTGGCGGGGTTACACACATAGTACTGTGAAGGAACAGAGGAGCGGTGAAGAATTAAGAGCAAACCGTTGCAACAGTCGAGAACATCCCTGCCAATAGGTTGAAAGGGTAATAGCTTCGAATACGACTCCACAAATCGTCCTCTGTCCCGCGGGGTTCTCCGACAATCTGATGGAGCATATTCCATACGGTAATCGGAGAATGGAGGAAGGGGAATCAACCTGAAGAGAAATCCAGAGAGAGGTGCGGATGAAGAGATTCTAGGAACACAAACATTAGAAATCAATAAGTACCAAGCTTTCCACACGGATTCGAATTGAATCAAAGGCTTTTCTGGCAATCTACATAGTATCTCCACCGTCAACTCATCGGGCAACTTAGACGACCAATCCCAGTAACAGTTGAACGCCATAGATTCAAACCCAACCACTTATTCTTTTGGGAAAGAACTTGCTTGTTGCATCTTCGCGGTCAAAAATCAAAGTTGTTCGCTAACACTCTCCGTTTCTTACGAGTTCACTTTGCAGTAGCACAACTCTTTCTCTTATAATTCCATCACTTCTTTGTGTTGCATTTGTAGGACACATTACTCATTGCTGGTATAGAAGGATCTCCACATTGATAATAGTACACTTCGTTGGGTTTCAACCCTGCAAAAAGAAGAAAAAAAAAAAAAAGTAATTCAAATTTACACATCACAGCAAACTCATCAGTATTGTGTCTATGGCTTCAACCCTAATGTTCATAATTATAGATTTAACAAAATTAATTTTCAATGACACACACTCATGTGAAGTGGAAAATATTGAACTACTCTGTTTTGAGACATATTACAATTTCATTCAATAAAAACAACAATTGTGAATCAGCTCAATCAAACAGTTAATTAAGAAATGAACATTATACTAACACAATTTATTGAGGCCTAACTACATACACATCACATGTGCAATTTTGATAACACAAACCATATCTTGACCTTGGGAAGATGGATTACCTCACCCCAATCACTCATATTTTCCACTATTTTTGTGGATTCAATCTTGTGACTGTTTAAAATATTTTGAAACCAAAACTTTTAATTTCTAAAAGCAGAATCCCCCATGTATTGATTCCATTTCTCAAAGCTTCCACCCAAACCCAATTCCAATTTATATTCCACATCTTCTATATATATATATATATATATCTCAACAAATTCAATCAGATGAAGATACACAAAAAAAATAAAATAAAAAAAAATATCAGTGATCCAAGAGGATCAAACGCTTTAAAATAAAACAAATCAAAACAAGCAATTAAACAATACCCACAACTCGACGAGTGGCACAAATAAAAAAAATCAACACATACACAAATGGGTTTGAAGCTTCCTTGCACGTAAGCAAGTAGTTTTGCCTGTAAAGAGCATCGTGAGGCTGCAGCATGCAATCTTTGGATGGAAAGGGAAGACAAAGAATCGATGGAGGGGCTTCAGTTCAGACCATTCCTCTATTCTTGGAAATTGATTAGGGCTTTGAAACTGATGAGAGAGAAGGGAAAAGAGGGGGAAAAAACCTCTAGAAATCAAACCCATTTACGAAATCAAGAAGAAATCAAACCTTAGAAATCAAGCCCATAAAATCCGACAAATCAAACCACTTAACAAAACCCATTTAAGAAATCAACAAGAAATTCAAATAAAGAAATCATATATATAAATACATATTTAAAAACCACATGAGAATGAAGATGTAAGAGGAGACCTCACAGCCGCCTCACCTCGCCTAGCTGTAGCCGCTGTCGCCTCCGGAGTCGCTGTTGCCCACCCTCCTCGAATCAGTATCCTCCTTGCATTTCTTCATTGCATTTCCTACTTGGCAGGCATTGGCCCATTTTAGCCCAATTTTGATAATATGGAGCGTTCGTATTTTAAGATTTATTTAATATATTATATTTGTAAAAAATTAAATTGATTGGATATCAGAAAATATGTGTTCGAAAAACTCGAACTAAATTTTTTTTTAAGAATTTAATAAATAGTTTTTCGAATATATGCTTTTTGATATCCGATCAATTTGATTTTTTACAATTATAATATAATGAACAAATCTTAAAATATAAATGGTTTGGACTATCAAAATTGGGCCTAAAAGTGGGCCCAATAACCCTACAAGTAAGAAATACAAGGAGGGGATCTTGATTCACCATTCTCTTCGTCGAAGAAATCGTTCGAGTTCGCCTCTCTCTTGAGGGTTCGAGCTGTCTCAACGATTGAGAGAGAAAAGGAAAAAAGAGAGAGTTTTTTTTTTTTAATTTAATGGGGAATTTAATGCCAAAACGACGTCGTTTTGACACCACGGTAGGGATCATGGCAGGAAACCATAGCAGGGGATCTAGACTCGTTTGGACTGAGGTTTCGACTGAAATACTTATATAGTACAAAATAAATTATTTTAGTTAAATAGATAAAATATTATATCAAACTCATAATTATTTTATTTTTTCTTTCATAAAAATTAAAAAAAATTAAAAAGTCTATTTCAAACGAGACTTTTTAAACCAAGCTAAAATAATCAAAAAGTCAAAAGGGTTAATTCACATCCCAAATGAATCCATTTGTTTGTATAGTAGGGATGTTTGGTAAGTTGGGTTTGGTTTTTTTTTTTGGGTTAAAATTTACAAAAAAAGACAAAATATATTAAAATAGTAAATAAGATAAAATGTGATATCAAATCCATAATCATTTTATTTTTTCTCTCATAAATATCACACCAAATTACAAAAAAATCAATTCTCTTCTCAAATACAATTATTTTAGCCTACTAAAATAATCAAAATTAAAATAGTCATCTTTCCAACCGAGACTATAGTATGGTGATATTAATTAATTGGAATTAAATATGTGAAATTACATAATTATCCATCTTTTCATCATCGATCCCACCTCTGGCCCATCTTTATTAATCCACCCATAACAGTGGACTACTACTCCCAGTGGAGTGCTCATCGCTTTACAACTTTTCTAATTAAGGGTTCGTGTGGGACGTGGATCGTCTTTTTAGTTTTTTAATTTTTTAGTTATTTTAATTTGAGGTTAAAATTTTTTATTTATGATAGGTTTTTTAACTTTTTGAGAGAAAAAATGAAATAATTATGATTTAAATGTGACATTTTATTTTATTAAACTAAAAAATTATTTTATTTTATTTTTATTTTTATAACCATTTTAGCCAAAAAGCCCCTAAAGCATATTACGAGTGAGCACACTTCTAGTAGTCCAATCCCGCTGTTCATAGAAGCAAACAAACATGCCCTTACAATTGGGATTAATGAGCGAGTCTAATTATTTTAGGAAATATATTATTAAAAAAATCCCTTCAGAAGCGATTTCATCTTTTTTTTAACGTCTAGATAAGTTATGCATATTTTTATTTGATAAATTATATTATTCTTTTTTAAAAATTTTTAAAAAAATTGCATAATCCCTATAAATAACGTTAAAATAAATAAAATTAATTTAGATGGTGTGCAAATCTATCTATCTATACTATATATAACTAAGGTCTTGTTTGTCATTCTCTAAAAAAGTCAAAAAGTCAAAAAAGTCATTATCCTATTTAAGTCACATCATCTTATTTAACTTATATCACCTCTCTATCACATCACTTCTAATCCAACCCATATTTTATAAAAAGTCAAAAAGTACACTTATTTAAAACATTTCAAACAATCTATAAATATAATTGTTAGGTTAAAAGATTTCAAAACTTGAATCGTGAATTCTCATAATTTTTTAAAAAATAAAATAAACACATGGCACTTCTCTTTACCTCTCTTCTTACTATTAAGGCCAAGTTTGGCTACTCAAAATAAGTATGCACTTTTTATCTTTTTTCCATCACATCACCTCTCTACTTTTCTGCACATCTTTTCGTAAAAAGACAAAAAGTGCAGTTATTTAGGTCATCCCAAACAACCCCTAAAGTCTTCTCACTCCCTTTCTTAATTGTTATCTAAAAAAATATCTTAAAAAATTAGATAATATCTTTTATGGAATTGTGGATATAGATATGTATAAAGAACCCCACACATCTATCATTGTGTCATGTAAATTTAAATAATAATATATAAAAAAAAACTCACAACTCTCACAACTCTTATTCCCACATATTATATAATAATAAAAAATAATAAAAAAATTAAAATGAAGAAGAAGAAGAAGCAGCAAGCAAGAAAGAAAAGTGGTAGCATTTATTTGATTCACGTTTGCTTTTTAAAAAATAAAATAATTTGATTTGTATTTAACAAAATGTGATGTTAAATATCTTTTATCTCTACCCCAAAGTTAAATTTGAATTTAAATATTAAACCTCAAAAATACATTATACTTAAATTAAGTTTCCATATAAATTTGAACATCTACCAACAAAACCCAATATTGGAAACAAACCCTAACATCTTTTTTTTTTTTTTTTGTCCTTAATGTAGTCGTGACCATAAAAATTTCTTTAACATATTAGTATTTTATATCTCCTAACTCAAACAATTTATTTGTTTTTCCTCTCTAGGGAAGATTGTAATATACATAGAGTTTTACAAGTAATCCCTCAAGGTCCATTTTTTTACGTGAAATCTATTTGGAGCCATAAAACTTCCATTCAATTTTTTTTCATCTTTATTCTATTGTATATTTAACTGTGGGAATGTATTTTCTGAATACCAACACGTGGCAAGGTGACGCCGACGTGTCAGCCGACATGCCACGTGTCCAGGTTGTGACGCCGAGGTTATCTCGGTGAGGCCGAGGTTATTTCCGAAGATATCAGAATCCGAGATAAGAGGATAATGGATAAAGGACAAGAGTCCTAGAATGAGAGAAGACTTTAGTTTGGGTAAAGATAAGACTCTTAGAGAGTTTATCCCAATCCTGCTGGGAGTCCAAGATTAGCAGTAATCCTAAGTCCGTAGAAGTCAGGCTTCTAGTGGGACTAGGATTGAGTAAGCTATAAAAAAGAGGCACCCCTGTGGGTCTAAGGTACGCAATTTTATGCTTTGAGTAGTTAGTTTAGCACTTGATTATCTTTGAGAGATATACTGACTTGATCGTCGGAGTGCCCTCGGGTGGAAGAGCCACCGCCGGAGCCTTTTCTTTCTGTTACAGGTTTGCTGAAGCCATCTATTCTGCCGGTGTTCTCCAGCTGATTACTAGGCGGGTAGTGTGGTCAGAAAATCACTCACACAATTTGGCGCTGTCTGTGGGAAACTTAGAAGAATAGATGGCCAGTAACGGACAGAAGGAAAACATTGGGGGCAACACTCCTGCTGGGAGTGGCAGACCAATTGACCTTGACGTTGAAGGAGACAACTACAATGCAGAAACTCATGACCAAGGTCATGGAGAGAAAGACGTCGGCCAGGAGGGCGACGCTTCAAAGAGGACAGACCAAAGCAAGTATTATAACGAAGATAACCTTCAGGTATGGAGGGATAGGTGCTTATGGAGGGATGAGGAAGTAAAAGAATTGGCAAACAAATTGGCAGACCTACAGTCAGTGGTCAACTTCATGATGCAAAACAATGTCATGCAGCCACCATACCCGCTGCAGGATACGCCGATACCAGCAACTAACACCCAGAAGGGAGGAAGAAGAACAATCCCCGAAGTCCCTCAGTACACCAGGAGCGGAAGGCACTCTCACCGACCTTCCAGGGAAGGCGGACGAGAGGAGTCCCGAAGAACGTATCACACGAAGGACCAGAACCCAAAGAACATCGGCATATTCAAGGGCAGGCACTTTGCTTTGACACAACACATGGAGAGAGATCAAAACGAGCCCATCACGAGTCCGAAAGTAGTGTGCCGAAGAGATTGAAGTCCAGAGATAGCCGAGCTCCAGGAAGGAGTAAAGAAGACTTGAGAGATTACCTCAAAAGGAAGCAACAGAATGCTAAAGCCGAGGAAACTTCCCCGGTTAAGTCGAGGACACCATTCTCGGTGGAACTGGACAAATTTCAAGCACCAAAGCGATTCAGTATGCCGAGGTTCCAAATATATGATGGTAAGTCAGATCCCAACTTCCACGTCGGGCTGTACCTGAATTCGATGGCATTATATAGTGGGAATGAGCCGTTGCTCTGCAAAGTGTTCCCCTCGTCCTTTGGGAAAATTGCATTAGATTGGTTCCATAAACTACCAAAGGGAAGCGTAAAGACTTGGCAAGGCCTGGCCGAGATGTTTGTAGCCAGGTTTGTGACGAACAAACTACAGCCATTGAGGGTGGACGCATTGATGGCTCTAAAGATCAGCAAAGACGAAGGCCTTAGGGCCTATGCGAAAAGGTACTATGAGGTATTCAATCGAATCCCAGAATGTAATCAAGAAGTAGCGGTTGTGTCATTCAAGAACGGCCTGAAAGACAATTGTCCACTACGGAAGTCTTTGGCAAAAACTTTGCCAAAAAGCATGGAAGAGCTCATGGCGAGAATTGAGAAATATGCCAGAGCCGAGGAGGACACATCGGGCAATAAAGAGGTAAAGCAGGAAAAAGGAACGGCGAGCCGAAGCGAAGCCGAGGTGACAACGGATTTAACAAATCAGAGATAGAATTGAGGGGTAAACAGGCAGTGACGACTGTGTTCCGAATCCCAGTACACAAAGTCCTGGATCAAATCCGAAATCAACCTTATTTCAGAGCACCAGCAAAGGCCCTAGGGGAGTACATGGGAAGGAATGTTGGTAGGCGTTGTGCTTACCACAATGAAGAAGGGCACCCAACTCAGGGCTGCAGAGCCCTAAAAGCATACTTAGAGGACTTAGTAAGGCAAGGTCATCTGAGGGACCTCGTCGACGAAGCCAGGACAAGAGAAGAGCAGGCAAGATTGCCTTAAGCACCAGCGG